GGTCTTTCCATTTAAAAAAATGGATGTTTGCGTGATAAGGAATCACCCTGTAGAGACAAAAATATTTTCCACATTTGGATATAATTTTTGTAATTAACTTTTCCAGATGGCGTAATAACGTAGTTATCAACCGATCCTTAAACTAAAGGTTCACCCTGCATTTGTGACTCCAAAAATGAACTATGCCAACTTCAATACTCTTGAGCCTTCTAAACAATATCTGGAAATGTTTCTAAATTTTGTATCTTCAAAAGATCTTTTGACGACGCCCAAAAATTATACTGAGTGACATATAAATCCGAACACCCAGTTTAAATGGTTGTATTTTAATAAAAGTTGGTGAATGTATTTATTTTACTGTAAATAACAAGTGACAAAATTTTCAGCCTTATCAGTTGGACATTCCGGTTTTTACACTGCTTTTTTTTAATTCACTAACGCTCTAAAAATGAATATTTCAGCCGCAGTTAAGAATCAACGTTGGCGGATTTTGGTTCTTGACATCCTTTACGATCGGTTACGATGCCTAGAGTACGGAGACCTGTACGATTTCGTCAACTTAGTGAGTTTGATAGGGGCCGTATAGTGGGACTTCGGGAAGCTGGACTTTCTTTTCGGGCAATTGCAGTTAGAGTGCAAAGAAGTGTAGACACTGTGGTTAAGTGTTGTCAGGCATGGCTTCGAGAAGGCCGTACGCAAAGAGCAAGGAGCACTGGACGCCGCCGTAGAACAACAGACCGTGAAGATCGCCGCCTAAGATTATTGGCCTTAAGGGACCATTTCTCCACTACCAGGTCCATTGCAAATGAATGGTTTGCAGAACACGGAAGTTTTGTCTTGTTTTCATACCGGCCACACTGGGATCAGGAATGGAACAGTATTGTCTTTAGTGACGAGTCTCGATTTTGTTTAGGCATGCACGATGGTCGTGCCAGGGTTAGAAGGCGACGTGGTGAAAGGAGGAATCCACAATTTTTTGTTGAAAGACATGTTCATCACACTGTTGGAGATATGGTTTGGGGTGCTATAGCTTATGGTTCCAGGTCACATTTAATCTTCATCAGAGGTAACACGAACGCGCAGCGTTATATCCACGAAGTTCTAGAACCCTATCTTTTACCCTATATTGACACCCTGGCAGATCCAACTTTCCAACAAGATAATGCCCGACCACATGTTGCAAGAGTCACAATAGACTTCTTTCAACATAATGATGTCACATTGTTACCATGGCCAACAAGATCTCCCGACTTATCCCCAATTGAGCACGTGTGGGATATGATAGGTAGGAGATTGCTCAATTTGCAACGTCCTCCTCAGACTCTAGAAGCACTTCGAGAGGAGTTGGTGGTTGCCTGGAATGAGATACCACAGGAGGACATTGACCACCTGATCAGAAGCATGCCTAGGCGCGTTGGAGAATGCGTAGCACATCATGGTGCATCCACACATTATTAAAGGTCAAAGGGCTTTAAAGCAGTGCAATCATTTTGAAATTTTTATCATTTACTTATTATGCTTCATTAAGTACTTATACAAAATTTTATTAAAATAAAACCATTTAAACTGGGTGTTTGGATTTATATGTCACTTAGTATATTATAAATAAAAAAATGGAGACTTGTAATGACCTGCAACTGTTTTGTTTTTTTTTTGCTCACAACTTTGTCGTTAGTACACCAATTTTCAAAGCATGTATCAACTACTCTGACCCGACCCAAATTTTATGTATATTACTAGAACGTTCTCAAATCAAAAACTTAAGTTCAAATTCTCATTCATGCTGCATGCGGACCTTCTGCTGATATTCAAGATTGAGACAGCTTGTAGATGGGGTGAGCAATAAATATTTCTCATGTTCTCACTAATTAATTACAAACCGTCCCCATGGAATTTCTTCTTTCTTCATACAATATCCAGCCACCAACTGTTGCTCGGCGTGTCAACGCACAGACACCAATGACCATCTGGTGTGCGTACCAAATTTTAAGGGTATCTACCGATTTTTTCTTACCGCTCAGTCGCGTAGCGACAGTGGTCAGACTACCCCAAGAAAATTCTTTATATTGTTGCTGTTGGGAGAGCATTGTAGTTTTTTTGAGGTCAAAGCTTTGAACTTTCCACGAATACAGGCGGGGAATTATTGTAATCGCGAACGTTATATTTTAATTAGCACTAGCACCAATCCCATTGACGGAGTAAGTAATTAAATTCTAATAAATTGAGCATTTACTATATTCAATTTTATTGTTAGCTCCTAAAGATGACAGCATAGCCTGTCGAAAGCTTGAGTATTTGTAAGTCAAAAGGGACTTATCTTAATTTGTCGATATCCCCAAAGACAAGTCTGCAATATGCGATTCATAGTTATTGTCGATAATAACTAGTTAAATGAAAGACTTGTCTTCGGGGATACCGAAAAATTAAGCAAAGTGTACCCTTCTGACTTACAAATCGAGCTTTGGACAGGCTATGCTGTCATCTTCAGGCTAAAAATAAAATTGAAAATAGTATGTTGGAGGCCATAGTATGGCATAAGACTCTCAACCTTAGCGGTTGCGCATCTCACGCACACTCAAGTGTGATCCTATGATGCCATTCACCCTTCTGGTAAAGCATGAATAAAATAAAAAAACTAATAGATATTAGTACCAATAAAATAATAATTAGTCACAAAGAGAAAAGCAGAAATGCCTGGATTACCAAACGATTAATAACATCGGCAATAGAAAAAGAAAGACTATATAATGTAATGAAACTAACGCCAACTACAGAGAATACCGACTGCTACAACCAATATAAAAATAAATTTATAGAGCTTGCAAGGCAAACCAAACGAAAACATTACCTAAATAAATTGAATAATAACTTAAATGATCCTAAGCGGCTTTGGACAACTATTGATGAGATTACTGGGAAAACAAAATTTAAAGAGTGTGTCACTGAGTTAAATACAACATCGGGAACAGTATTAAAAAATACTCAACAGATATGCGATGAATTTGTACAATTCTTTACTGACATAGGCGAAAATTTAGCAAGTAATATACAAGCAAATGTACAAAATACTCAGCCTACAAAAAGAACTTTGAACTCATTTATTTTGGATAAAGTCGAGCAATGTGAAGTATACACCACTGTTATGTCCTTAAAAAATCGGAAAAGTCCTGGGTTCGATGGTATTAAAAGCGAGCATTTGAAAATTATAGCCGAGGACATAACAGAACCACTCACTTACCTAATCAACAAATGCTTTGAATCTGGCATATATCCCTCAATTTTAAAACAAGGTAATATAATACCGATACATAAATCAGGAACAAAAACAGATGTTAACAACTATAGAAGAAATATCAATAATATCCAGTGTAGCAAAGGTTTTTGAAAAAGTTTTATCAACTAGAATGATTCGATACCACAAAATTAAAAAATTTAAGTGAAGATCAATATGGATTTACAGAAGGGAAGGCTACATCGGACGCAATAACTAAAATTGTAAATCAAATACATCAAAATATTGATAACAGAATCCCTTCAATCTGCGTTTTTGTTGATTTAAAGAAAGCTTTCGACACAGTTAATCACAAATTATTATTAGAAGCATTGGAGAGAATTGGTTTCAGAGGAAACGCGTACTCACTGATCGAAAATTATTTGTCAAATCGCCCACAGTTTGTGGAGATATCAGGATCATTTAGTAAAGAAATGTATATTAAGTGTGGTGTCCCACAAGGAACTGTCTTAGGTCCGCTGTTATTCAATATATATTTAAATGATATTTTCCAAATTAATTGTGTTGGCAAAATAACTAGTTTTGCAGATGATACTGCAATATTATATGAAGGCACTGACTGGTCTGATCTGAAAAATGTAATTGAAAATGATTTTATCAAAATTATTCGGTGGTTTAACAGTAGAAAATTAAGCATTAACTACTCTAAAACACATTTTTTACCATTTGGATATTATGCTAGACATCTGCCAAATTACACAAATTTCTCCTTCAACATTAATGATCAAAAAATGCAAATTAATAGAGTGCCCAACATAAAATACCTTGGAGTGGTCTTGGATCCTCACTTACGATGGGACATCCATGTCAATTATATTTTAAAGAAAGTTAGATTTGTATCTTATAAAATTAAATACCTTGGGAATATATTGACAGAAAAATATCTTCGAACACTATACCATGCACTGATTGAGCCTCATCTCATATATGGTATATTAGCATGGGGGCTGCATGTTCCTCACATATCTATAATTTAGATGCTTTTCAAAAAAGTATTCTAAAAATGATATTTAAAAAACCGAAACTTTATCCCACTGAAAAATTATACGCAGATGTTCGAATGTATGATATAAGACAGCTTTATTTCTTACACACTACCATAAATTTGTAAACACCGACCCAAAAATTAAACATAATCATTATACCAGGTACAAAATTCGTGGCACAGTAGTTCCTCAACCACATAAATCTATAATGCAGCGATCATATCTCTATTTAGCGCCTAAATTTTATGAAATTATGCCTAAAGACTTAAAAGATTTACGTTTCGGAAATTGTTTCAAAAGAAATTTAAAAAAGTGGCTACATTCTATATCTAGGACTGAAATTCATAAACTCATAAATACGAACATCAACTAAATACATAATCTACTGTAGCTAATTTTTGTCCTTTTTTGTCATTTGTATTCTACAGTTTCAACTTAAATTATTGGTCCATGTACAGGCGATGCCTTCTATTGGGCTTGTTTTGATTTTATATTTATTTACTCATATTGTTTGTTATCTTTGTACATTGAGTGAATAAATATTATTATTATTATTATTATCCTTTTCCCGAAGTGGTGAACACACCACGCTTTTTCACGGTATTTGGAAGTTGATGTAAATCAGTTACTACATCACCGTTCATGATAATCTCAGACATTCATGATTTCCACAGGCCAGAGACTCTGACCACGTCACCGAAATGCTAAAGCTGTGTCTCCAGAAAATCTGCGAACTTCAAGCTGAGCTAGAACACGAAGACGCAGTACCTCACGATGCTGAAGCAGCGGGCTACTCTGCTTGTGCTCTTGAAACCTTGAGGTTTTTGTCTGCTCAGGGACTACCACATGACCACCCCATGGTGAAACGGATCAGGGAGAAGCTGCTTAAGGAACACGACAAGTGACCCAATGCTGCAATTAGCTTGTAGACATGTCCAAGACACCTGAATTTTCTTACCTCTGATACCGGAAAAAAATTCTAAAGTCGCTTAAATGGGGGGACAGTTGTGTATTCCGGTAACTATCTTGATGCCGCTTGAAAAGTTTCGAAATTCAAAGTACTTCCGACGAAATACGGAGAAACCTAAATTTTCCAAAATTGTTTTAATTTCTTCCTAACTACTTGTAGCAAGTATTCAAAATGAATTGCTCATTAACCTTGTTACTTTTTCTTATCTACGAATGGCATTATTAGAATTTCAATACGACGTTTCGTTTCTTGTCCTCCAGGACTTTGTTTTATCTTAAGCATGACGTATTGGATTTTTGCACAGGTGGATAGTTTTTTAATTCTGGTTCCAAAATGAATAATACGTCATACATTGACATTGCCAAACCTTACTTATTTAAAAAAAAAGCAGAATTTCCCAGGTAGACCTTGAAATTATCACTGGTTTCAAATTTTTCCCAAAATCATTTTTATTTTTTCCTGACTTAATTTGAAATGGAATGTCAAAATAAATTGTGTGTTATCGTTGCCCCTTATTCTCCTCTATAACATGGCCTAGACAAAATTTCAGTTCGAAGTTTCTTCTTTCGACGTCCATCACCAACTTTGTTTTTTCATATGGACGCTATATTGAAATTTTGTACATATAAATGGACATTTCGGGCCTTAATTCAGTGATCATTTCTTTTGTTGTCGGAACAAAAATTAAAAGGGAATAAAGAGGTATAGTGAAACCTGAATACAAAATGAATTTTTTATTGATGCTAATAACAATAAGCAGAGTTAAATCACAGCAGATGTTCAAAATGTTGTCCGTTATTTTGTAGGCAAAGCCTGACTCTTGTCTGTACATGGTTCACTGCTCTATTTATTTCCTTTCAACAAATGACTATGATAATTTCAAGGCCTACCTAGTAAATTCAGTTTTTCTGAAATAACTGAATTTTGTCAATGTATGACAAATGATATATTTTTGGAATCGGAATAAAAAACTCTACGACAAGAGACGAAACGTCATATTAAAATCTAATCAGGTAATTTTGTACAGGAGAAAAAGTGGCAATGTTAATATGTAATTCATTTTAACATCCCACAACAAGTAAGGTCGGGAAAAATTGATACAGTTTTGGATATATTCGTTTCTTTCTGCCTTTTTACGGAAGTACTTTGATTTCGAAACTTTCTAAGCGGCATTCTGTTAGTTAACTAAATACGCAACTTTGTCGCCACTTAAGAGACTTCGTATCGCTTACAGTTTCCTAGATCCCAATCGTAAAAGTCGAATTTGAAACACCCGGTATATATTTCACCTTCAAAAGATATACTTGGAGTGTCTAATATTATAATTCATTTTCGACATTCTTAGCTAATACTTCCTAGATAGTAGCGTGGGAAGTAAAAAAATAATTCAATCAAAATTGTTTCAAAAATATTAGTTTGTTCTTAAACATTGGAAAATTATTAATTTCCCCTTTCTAAGATCAACCCCTCAGAGCAAATCCTGAATATGATTTAAGGTATCGTTAATAATATCCCACCACCTGTGGATCGATGACGGCCAATGTATTGGAAACATGCTTGGATATTTATACATACCGTTGTATATTTTATCAGATATATTGAAGTTTTTCGGCTCCAACATTACGCCGCAGCGAGGCGAAATTTTTCTCATAATCGAAGCTTGAGGCGCCTTATTAAATCCTAAACAGGCCAACCGAAAAAAGAAACGCCGATAATGCTTTTTCTATAACACAAAAACTGGAGATGTCTTTGTCGAATAGGCAAACAATAGAAAACGTTCGCTCTGGTAAGATTCTACACAAACAGTGACAAGCACATTGATTTCGAAATTTTTTGTACGTACATCCACCTCTGTCATGTTCAGTTTTTCAAAATTTCAGTTACAAGTACCTAGATCGTTGACTTGACATATAAAATGAAACGTTTCAAGTAGTGACAAGTTTGGATGCTATTTCTATGTACATTTTAAAATAAACTCCTACGAAACTTGGCAAAAGTGAAATAAATGATGCGTTACATCGCTAACATCATAGTTTAAAACACAGGTTTCCTTAATGTACCAAAAATCAGAAAATGCAATGAAAATAATAGAGGGGATATACTTTTGAAGCTTCAGTTCACTTTTTTGAGTTATTTTTAAGCTATTGCAATTCTGCATCCAATTTGTACAACCGTCCTATGAAACAAAACAATGTGCTAAAACTTTAGTTTAGTTAATTTAGTGTATTCTTATATTCTAGTCACTAGAACTAAAACCCTAGAAATAGTAAAAACTGCCTATTTTAATGTATTATTTTTAATTGATACTAGCCTTGGATATTTTGTACTTTGAATATGTATTATAAATCTATTCTTTCTAGTCATTATTATTAATATTGTGTACCAGGTATGTAGGTAATTACGTTCCTGTTTTTTTCGCTAAAGAAAAGGTATTTACAATGAATTATTTATTCAAAGTATTGGCCATTTAATTCTATACATTTTTCCATACCTCAGGCGATTTATCGATGCCATCAAAAGAACTGTTTTTGTCCTTTGAGCTAAACCATTCATCAAGCCATTTTTTTGACTCCTTCGAAATCGGCGCAGTGCTGCCCTGCAAGCCCGTGCCCCATCCAAATCAGAAGGTCGTAGCCCGATTGGAATCAGCTCTGGAGAGTACGGCGGGTGCGATAGCATTTCTTTTATTAGTTTTGCTGTATGATACGACGCGTTGTCATGCTGGAAAATCACCTTGTCTGTGAGCATATTGTGGACGTTTCTCGATCAATGCACAGCACAATTTGATCATTTGTTGTCAGTATTAACTGCCAATTGTTTTTGAGTTTGTGTTGAACCTTCATCTAGTAACCCCTGCAATTCTGAAAAAAGCTACTTCATCTCTGTCTAGAGATCTGGAGGTTATCACTGCTTGGGACTCATCAATCTTGTACAGTTTAATGTACCGTACTGTACTTTGACTAACAAGAAGCGTCCTAGCGCTCATCCGGTGTCGCTGGATGGCCGAGTTCTACCAAAGAGCCGTTCATTTCGGCTGGTCGGAGTCGAGATCAGCGAGGACTTGATCTGGCACAAACACATCTCGTCAATAGCGGCAACTGCTGGAAAAAATCTAGTCTATTTCTTCAGGGGTTAGAAGTACTTTTCTCCACATGACCTCCTAACTCTGTACAGCGTCCAGATAAGACCTAGCCTCGAGTACTGCTCACCACTTTGGGGCGCTGCCATTCCCACTACATTATCCATGCTCGATGCTATTTAAAGGAGGGCTGTCCGACTAATCGATGGCTCCAACGGGCGCGATGTGCCTGTCAGACAGACTTGTCTGACTTCTGTCTGGCCTCCCATCCAAACCGTGTCGAACTTCGTACATACAGAACTGGCCGATACGACCGCTCCTTTCTCCCTAAGTTATTGAGATTATGGAACGATCTAGCTGAGGAGGCTCTTCTTTGTTCTACTAACCTTAAGCAGTTCAAAAATCAGAATAATAAAGTTTATTTAAGCTCCTGATAGCAACATTTATGCTTATGCCTACTGGGCTGATTCGGTGTAACAAAATCTCCAGTGGCTTGTTCACCTTGATTAAACAAGAAAAGCAATGCGAAAACTCAGGTTGTTAGGCACAGACCTCTGCATTTTCAAAAATTATAAATATATAATATTGTTATTTGGGCGTACCGTAACTTGTGAAGGTAGTCTTAGGGTTAACGAGAGTAGAAGAAAATGGCATGTGTATCAAATCGCAACATTGCACATTTATGGCTAGTGACATATGTTGCAAAAATCGGAAAATAATTACCGACACATTTGGGGCCTGATTCTAAATGAGTCTCGACCGTTGAAATTAATTTCGATGGCGCCTTGTGACGATACACTTGATTAGCTATGATAATTTTGACACTGTCATGATAATTTGAATATAGAAGATCAAGACCAGGTGGCATCGAAGTCCGTTTCAACGGTCGAAACTCATTTAGAATCAGGCCCCTGGTAGGTAGTCTATATCTCCAAGAATCATTGATGTAACTTGGAAAATGTATGGTTGGAAGATTTTTATTACCTATTCTATCAAATCTAGTCATTTTTACTGTACTGTAAATAGAACTAACAATAAACATTTAGAATACCAGGTGGCTTTTTTAACCGTTTCATAATTCAATAGCGTCAAATCGTCATCAGAATCGGATTCTGCGCACCCAAGCGACGAGTTTCTTTCCAGCACAGGTATCACGTATCTTGAAAAGTGACATTATAGGGTAGGATCGCACAAGAGTACGCACTTAACCAATTTACTTTGTTTAAAAATAATTGAAATGCTTTAAGTTGAAATTTTTATTCAAAATATTTTAGCTTACATACTAATCTAAACTTAAAAGACAAATTTTGCCATACATTTTAACATTTAACGAAAATATAAAAGTTTAAACAAAAACAATAAAATGCGTACTCTTAGGATACAGGTTCCTTAAGAGTACTCAATTGTGTCCTAAAGAGTACGCATGTAAACCAAAGAGTACGCGGTAAGATATATCGCCCAATTGGCTGTACCTAAACTTATTCTTTTAAATGTAGGCATAAGTCACAAGAAAATAGGCCATTTCCTAGATAATTAGAGCAGTCATCATGCCACCATGTTTGACACAAGTGACACTTAATCCAATCGGATGTAGAATAATGCTCGGAACATCCGGGACAAATCGTATTGTCTTTTTCATTGTCAACTTTTTTCTTCTTCTGGATTTCTGTATTTTGCCCAGAATCACCAAAAACTTTTCTTTTTCCTCCCTTTTTCTTTAGGCCTTCCATACGCCTATCTTTTTCTTCCAACAATTTGTCTTTGTATGGGGTAGATGACAGGATTTCCGACTTTTTAGATTTAGTTCTTCTTACTTGTTCATGGGTAGCTTTTGGTAACGGTAAAATCATTTTAGGAGTAATACAAACACTTAAACCTAGATCAATCGGTGCCGCAGACGTAGCCTCAACATAAGTTGAAATTTTGGTAAAGCCTGTACTTTTTGGACTTGGTGTTCTAGTTTGCTCATTTTCAAATAATTTTTCCTTATCGTTTTTAGGCGGGATATAGCCACTTGTACCTGGTTCACTTAGTTCCTTAGGAGCTGCTTTAAAGTAAGCTGTACTTTCAGTAACGTCTGAACTTTGTGGTCGGGAATCGTAGATTGCTTTTCTTCGGTTAATTTTAAGTTTTCTTTTATTATGGTATTTCTTACTTCTGCAAGAGTGCAATCGTCATCAAATGAACTCTCTTCAACAGATGATTCGATTCTTTGTATTTCAGATTGAGTTTCTTGGGCCAGGTCTAGATGTGGTCTGTTTGTGACCTCAGATGGAGCAAAATCTAAATCACTAAAAACGTCTGGGTTATAAGGAAACAACCCAGTGCAAGCAAATGATTTTTCACATATTTCTATAGTAGTGACTTTTGAATAAGCAAAATGGAAAATGGCAGCCATTTCTTTTAAAGTAATAGGGCGTCCAGGGTTGTTGACCATCCATTTATCGCATTCGTTTGAAAAAGCTGTTTTTAAGGGAAAGAAAAATCCTTTATCTAAGGGTTGAATTTTATGGCTTGCATGAGGAGGTAGGGTTAGTAGCGTTATAAAATGACTTCTAGAGAATAAAATGGTCTCCAATGAGCAATGAGATGTGTGATTGTCCATTATTAAAACCACTGGATCTGTTTCGGATGGTTTTACAAAGTCGCAAAAATGTCGCAACCAAATTACAAACAAATCAGTGTTCATATAACCTGAATCTGAGATCATTTTTAATGTCCCAGGAGGTGCTCCAAAAAAAAGTTCCTCCTTCATTCTTTTTCTTGCGAAAATAAGACCTGGCGGAACCCAAGTACCACCAGCGCTCATGCAGCATACAGCCGTAACTAGCTGACCTCGTTCACCTGATACAACTTTTGACACAGTTTTCTTCCCTTTACAAGCATAAACTTTTGGGAGCTTGTTTGGTACGGTAGATAATCCCGTCTCGTCCATATTAAAGATCCTGTGTGGTGGTAGTTTTAATTTTTCGTAAACTATTTTTAAATTTTCGAAAAAGCGTTGACACTGAACTTTATTAAAGCCGATAGCGCGACCTAAGCTGCATTTTTCTGGAGCTCTGAGAGACAAAGTATTTCTTGCTGCAAAATCTTGTACCCAGTGTTTCCCCGCCATCTTGTTTTCTGTATTAAACCTATGCGGAATTTTATTTAATTCTGCATACTGAAAGGCCAAGTACCTAACATCTTTCATACGCAGTCCATAAAATCTGTTATCTAGATCTTTGATATGGTCAGCCAATTCCTTTTCCTGTGCTTGTGAAAATACAGGCTTAAATCTACCCAGACTAGATGGAATAGTACCCTAAAATAAAAATAAAATTGCATTTTGACGTTAAAATCGTCAGTTTATTATTACCTCTCGCAATCTTTTTCTTAATGTACACTCATTCACATGAAAGGACTTTGCGACCGATCTTTTACTTTCCCCTTTTGCGATGCGGTCCCTTGCTTGGTCGATGATTTCTTGAGTAAATTTTAATGATCTATCGCTCTTTCGCTTGTATTTACCCATTATAACAAACTAAAACAAATAATAAGAAGTCATTTCATGTGTCCCTAAGAGTACGCACGAATCCTAAGAGTTCGCATGCGTACTCTTTGCCTGCGTACTCTTAGGAACCTTGACATGAAAAATTTAAACACTGAGTTACAAATTTAGGCAACCAGAAAAACTGTATGTATGTCGCTAAGGATCAACTGTAAACATTACTGTTTAAGGCATATTTACGATTTTTTATAAAAATTTGCGATTTAATTAAATATTACTTACCCAGTAAGTTCAAAATATTACATGTAATTTCAGGAAAACTATTTTTTCCGCATATATGTTACGCATTTGTTAAAAATTGTCAGCAAAACTACACAAACTCTTGGGACAACTAACAACTAACTACTGACGAGACGACAGCCGACTGGCGGGGATAACAATAAAAAAATGGCGATCGCGTACTCTTATGGAACGCGTACTCTTAGGCGATCCTACCCTACAGGTTTTTCTACAAGATGTCTTAGCACTTAGTTGTACGTGCTACGTGTTGCCTAAACGTCATGAGACTTATTAACAATCTTTGGCTATGATGTGATGTAAAATCTGCTTCTGAGATGGCATTACGATTACTGGAGGTCTAAGCTGTAAGTTGTATGTTTCGATGATAATTACATTGGGTTCTTGTCTCAAATACATTTAATTGAGATTCAAAGCTAGAAATTAGTTGCGCATCCACTTTTTCTTATCCAGTCTGGAAACTACATATACAAATTTGCTGATTTTCAAAAATGAGAGAGATAAGAAATAATTATATTCACTGTACACTGTCGAATTACAAGCCCTATACATGCTAACAGTAATTACACACAACGCGGGCGCGGTGATGATTTCCCGTAATTCTCCTCAGTTTTTCGTAATTTATAAGTTTGAACATAACCTCTCTTCAGAAAGCACAACATAAAAATAACCCGTCGGGCACAGCCAATAGATATATGTACTTCATTGGCAGCATATTCACTAATGATTTTCTAACACAGCAAATATCACTGATTTTATAAACATGCAGACCAATACACATAAACATCCAGATGCGATCTTGCTATCCAACCAACTTTCTTTTCAGAAATAAAAACTACAGACAAGGACCACTCGGTCTCATAAAGCATATGCAACCAATAATGCGTGTAGTTTAGTTAAGTGATTCCTCCATAGATGGACGTTCACAACGATCAGAGTGAGCAAACGTAGAATGACTGTTTGCTCCCTAAAAACTACCTAGTTTTCAAGATGATATAGGTTTTTTTCGACGTTTTACAGGTTTTTTACATGATACCCATGCGGATCATAGATGCGTCGAGGTATTTCAATATGTTATCATACGAAGCCCCGAAATATAGAGTTTTTTTGGTGAAAACTCCCATTTTTGACTCCTGCTGTTACAAGCAGATGAAACTGTGTAAGTTTGGCTAACATGAGATGCTGTACTTAAAAATCGAATCGAGTAGGTTGACCCCGCACTTTCTACTCAACTGTGTCGTCAATTCATAAAGGGTTATATTCGGCACAAGAAAAGTTATTTACGAAAATGTATAACAGTAATTCAATGGATCATGTCAGCTAAACCGGCTCATACAATTAATTCATCGAGCCTACCGACAGTACCGACCACCATTCGACACTCGTTGAATTTATCGCGTATTTATCTATCATTTAAGTTTTAACGTCAAATCTACAAGGAAATCTATGATGTATGAAATATGCCTATTAGGTGAGCAGAACAACCGGGATTTCAAACGTATAAATTGCTAGCACCAAAAAAATAATATCAATTCTCCCCACCTCTACAATCCCCATCCAATTTATAAGCACTTCAAAAAATTTTCTGAAAATGATCGGGATCCTCTGAAACGTTAAAAAACGAAGTTTGAGCAAGTTTTATTTTTTCATTCTTGGCCTTTTCCTGCGCCGCCACTGCACCGAGTTTTAAAAGCTACAAAGCTTTTCCGTACAGTAGTAACCTTGTGTGAAAATTTTACCAAAATCCGAACGATACTTCCCAAGTTATGGAAGGGCCAAGGATTTGCGGACCGACAGTCACACACTGACAAACAGACGCACCGACAGACATACCAACGGAAGTGAGTGATATGATTTTTCGTGATCTAGGTGCCTCATAACACCCAAAAATATAATCTCATTTTCGCGATTACAATACTTTCTCGCCAGTGGCGTAGGAAGTAAGAATGACTACCAGAAAAACTCGAAGTGTCGTGGAGCTGAATTTGACGTAGAGCCCCTCCCCCACATGGGTCCAAGTTTCAAATTGATGTCGAACAACGAACTCGATTTTGTAGAGATAGGAGATACGCAGGGAATTTTGACAATTCTCTCCCACTCAAAATATTTTAGAATATTTTAGATCAAAATTTTCATTTCATTTTTGGTAAGTTTCACCGAGTCGAATTTGATGTAGCAAATGCTTTGATTAGGAACCCCGCACCCGAATTATATAACCTAAAAAGTGGCATCATATAGATTTTTAAGACATTATGTAGGCTTTTCCGAAAAAATGTCACCTTGGAACTAGCTAGTCATCCACTTCATGTTCACATATAGTAACCGTACGTGTTGCCTAATAAACGTCATGTTACGTGCTATGTGGTTTGGCTCTGATCTGATGTAAGACCTGCTTCAAAGATGGCACTAATGGATGCCATTTATGACCCTCACGGACTAAACTGTAGACTTTATACTATAGCTGGAATATAACACTGCAGTGTACAGTGATGCTTAGTGTACTCATAGGATAATGATTCCGTTAGTTTCTTGTCTCAAATACGCTTGCTTGAGCTCTATGCAAAGCTAGAAATCAGTTTCTTATCAACTTATTCATCCTGGTGATAACATGCAAATGCTGAATTTTAAAAATGCGACAAATCAAAAAAGAAAATCCCTAGTCGGTGAAGGATATTACAACACATGAAAAAATAGGTTACAAGATGTCCAAAATATACCTTTCGACATCCAAGAAAGATGAAGATGAATAATGAATGAGTATTTTATATTTGGAAAGCCAGAAATATCGGACGTTGCTAATGCAAAAATTCATATTAGCTGTAATATGGTTATAACCGCAAAATGTAACAACAAGCATAAAAAGTGTTTGTTGTTAAGTGTTTATGTTTTTGAAGTGGCCAATGCACACAAGCGTCCAGATACGGTCTTAATTTTTAATGACGTAAGTGCTGAACAATATTTGAAGCCACTCTCGTATCTTGCTCTTCGAGGACTATAGTATTATTTTTGGGGTAGATATAAGCAAGTTTAAAATGATCCATATTTGACATTTTAATAACGTCA